CAAATTTTTCTGTTTAAAATTTTCTGTGAAAATGTCAGTTTTGCATGTCATTTCTGGTCAAAAACTAAGAAACTTTGATGAAAATGTGTTGTAAAATTCTTTTTCAATATTGTATCTTTGGCTGCATGTTTTTCATAAAATTAGTGCCCCCAGAAAACATTTTTACAAATTTTTCTGTTTAAAAATTTCTGTGAAAATGTCAGTTTTCTATGTCATTTTTGGTCAAAAACTAAGAGACTTCGATGAAAAAGTTTTGTAAAATTATTTTTTCAAAATTGTATCTTTACTTGCAATTTTTTACAAGATTAGTGCACATAAAGAACATTTTTAGAAAATTTTCTGTTTAAAACTTTTGTCAAAATGTCAGTTTTTCATGTAATTTTTGGACAAAAACTAAGAAACTTTGATGAAAATTATTTTTCTAAATGTTATCTTTACTTGCATGTTTCTCATAGAAATAGTGCACGTAGAAAATATTTTTACAAATTTTTCTGTTTAAAAATTTCTGTGAAAATGTCAGTTTTCTATGTCATTTTTGGTCAAAAACTAAGAGACTTTGATGAAAAAGTTTTGTAAAATTATTTTTTCAAAATTGTATCTTTACCTGCATGTTTTTTTATAAAATTAGTGCACGTAGAAAACATTTTTACAAAATTTTCTGTTTAAAATGTTCTGTGAAAATGTCAGTTTTCTGTAATTTTTTGTCAAAAAAACTAAGAAACTCTGATGAAAACGCTATGTAAATTTTTTTTTTCAAAACGTTATCTTTGCTTGCATGTTTTTCATAAAATTAGTGCCCCCAGAAAACATTTTTACAAAATTTTCTGTTTAAAATGTTCTGTGAAAATGTCAGTTTTCTGTAATTTTTTGTCAAAAACTAAGAAACTCTGATGAAAACGCTATGTAAATTTTTTTTTCAAAACGTTATCTTTGCTTGCATGTTTTTCATAAAATTAGTGCCCCCAGAAAACATTTTTACAAAATTTTCTGTTTAAAATGTTCTGTGAAAATGTCAGTTTTCTGTAATTTTTTGTCAAAAACTAAGAAACTCTGATGAAAATGCTATGTAAATTTTTTTTTCAAAACGTTATCTTTGCTTGCATGTTTTTCATAAAATTAGGGCATTTAGAGAACATTTTTAGAAATATTTTTGCAAAAAGTTTTCTGTCAAAGTTTGAACTTTTTGTGTCATTTTTGTTAAAAAACTAAACAATTTTGATGAAAATTGTTTTAAAATTATTTTTCAAAATGTTATCTTTACTTGCATGTTTCTCATAAAAATAGTGCACGTAGAAAACATTTTTACAAAATTTTCTGTTTAAAATGTTCTGTGAAAATGTCAGTTTTCTGTAATTTTTTGTCAAAGACTAAGAAACTTTGATGAAAATTATTTTTCTAAATCTCATCTTTACTTGCACCTTTCTCATAGAAATAGTGCACGTAGAAAACATTTTTACAAAATTTTCTGTTTAAAACGTTTTGTCAAAATGTGAATTTTCAGTGTCACTTTTAGTCAAAAACTAAGAAACTCTGATGAAAACGCTATGTAAATTTTTTTTTCAAAACGTTATCTTTGCTTGCATGTTTTTCATAAAATTAGGGCATTTAGAGAACATTTTTAGAAATATTTTTGCAAAAAGTTTTCTGTCAAAGTTTGAACTTTTTGTGTCATTTTTGTTAAAAAACTAAACAATTTTGATGAAAATTGTTTTAAAATTATTTTTCAAAATGTTATCTTTACTTGCATGTTTCTCATAAAATTAGGGTATTTAGAGAACATTTTTTAAAATATTTTTGAATAATGTTTTCTGACAAAATGTAATTTTTTTAGTCTTTTATGGTAAAAAACTAAAAGATTTTGACAAAAATGTTTGTAGAATTATTTTTAAAAATGTTATCTTTACTTGCATGTTTCTCATAAAATTAGTGCATTTAGAGAACATTTTTATTCAATATAAGTTTTCACTAGAAAAATTTAACTACAATCTTTCAACATCTAACCAAAATTGACGTGGTAAATCAGGATATTGCGAAACATTTCAGGAAAAAAAAAAAAACTTTCATAATGCACTTTTTTGTTAGGAAACACACAGATATGATAAAATTCTAAAAAAAAAGGCAAAAACTTTCAATTTTTCAACATCTGACAAAAGGACAAGCTAAAATAGGAGTTTGCTGAAAAATTGAGAAAATGTTTTTGCTACCTCAAAATGAAAATGCTTTAAACTTTAAGGATACCTCTTCTGGATATGCAGTTTTGTTACACTAATTTTGCAGTCACATTGAAATAAGATACAAAGTCCAAGTCATCCCACAATGGGGAAATTTACGACGCAGGGAAAAGAAACAGCATCCATTAAGTTTTCTTCAAAACTTTAATTTTTTACTGTAAAAATGTTGAAGCTCAGTCCTACTGAATTTCTGTAAACTGTACACGTTTAAATGCCTTCATGAATGCACAGTAGGTCAGTAGTGTTAACACACAGCTGCTGTCAGTGGTGACAATGATCCACATGCAGAGTCAAGGTCAGGAAGAGAAAAGAAATCTGTACCAAACAGTTTTGTTCTGCAGCTTTAATTTCCTTTCATTTCATTATGATTCCATTTGGGTAATAAAAAAAAGAGTGCATTAACAGTTGATGCTGAACTAATGAATTACACGATATGCTGCATTTGAAAAATCAAACTATAATATACAAAATGAAAGCACATACTGAAAGTAGTGTTCAAACTAAAAATCATACGTGATTAAAAGCTGCAAAGTCACTGTAACTTTAACTGTTGGTCCAAATCCCAATTGATCACATTGAACAGCAATTATTGTGATAATAATCCAGTGTAGATTACAGGTGAAAAACACATGAAAGCAGTAAATAAAATATGTATGTTGGGAAATTATGATGTTGTACATTTTATACTTAATATTTGAAAAATTGAAAGAAGAAAAAAAAAAAGAAATCAAAGCAAGGATTGCTCGTTTAATCATCGTCAAAGTTCTGTTGTAGAAGGAAGTTGGCGGCCAAGTTCTCATTCTTCTCACATGCAAAGTAGGCTTGTATAACAAGGCCTTCTGGAAACCCTAAGGCTTTTAGCTGGAAGGAGGAAAAAGAGTTGTTCACTGACAAACTATTCTCAATTAAAAATCTCACAACACAGCAGAGTAGTGATTTTGTATTCTGTAAAGGGAAAGAGTTGTTCACTGACAAACTATTCTTTTGTATTCTGTAAAGGATTAATGAAAGTTCAGTAGTAATGTCTGACACGGCGATTCATTTTTTTGATACCATTTTATCGTTTCTTTTTTTTTTTAAACAAAATGAGCTCCAGACAAATTAAATACGGTCGTCCCTCGCTATATTGCGGTTCGGCTGTCGCAATCTCATCTTAAATGTATTCTTGTATTGTGGATTTTACACTCTATTGCAAGTTTATTTTCCAACCATCTCATTAAAAAAAATAATAAAAAACATATACATACGGGTATAGCAAGAAATAAATATTTTACGACCCTTAACTAACTGTCAATATATTAAACAATAAAAATAAAAAATAAAATACTACCTGGAAAGAGTTCCTTTCTTTACACAGTTTCTGTCTGAACACCTGAATGGCACTTGAGCTACAGTACACATAGACCTGACAGGTCATAGTTTAATAGCAGGGTCACAAAAAACATTTTTAGGTGCATACCGCCACCTACTGTACTAGAGTGCTAGTACTACATTCTCAAGTGACATTTTGAGATAACACATCCTACTCTTTAAACCTTGATGTGTGATTCATTATTTATTTTAACCGATGCAGATTGTCACGCGTTTGTATCGACTTCTAACCGATTCACGGCGCTTCTTTAGAGTGCAGTTGTTCTCCTTACCCTCTCAATGGCCTCCTTCTCCTGAGGTGTGACCTGGATGTAGTTCATCGGACTGCCTCCAGGTGCGTCGCCCTGTAACCCTCTGGCTCCTCCACCTCCACCTCCAGGCGTGGCTTCTGGATTTGGTTCATTCAACATCTGGATGAACTGCTCTTGATGGTTGCTGATCTCCTGCAACAGTGAGTGAGCAGTTTACACATCCTGTTAACGGGAGAGGCAGCAGTAACGGACCATAGTGAAGTTACGTTGCTGAGATGTTAGCAGTTAGACAGTCCTGTAAAGTGTTGCATCACAAAATATGCTAAGTTCCCCCTGTAGCAATGCTCGATGGCGAATGTCGTCTCTGTGCCTGTGTAGTAAAGCATCACACTTGGGAGTCTCAAGTTCTCCACAACACAGAAACACGCATTTCACCGTGTCGATAATAACAAGGTCAATCTTCCTAAAATGCTGGTTCTATCATTTCCATTTTCCAGTTAAAGTCTGGTTTCAATAACTCTTCTAATTTTAAGGGAAGGTCAAAAACTCAGTCAATGCTTCACCTGCAGTAACTCAGGGTTTTCTCTGCCAATTTCCTGCAACAAGGTTGGGAGCAGGGCTGCGTTCTGCTGGATCAGCTGTCTCATCACGTGAAACTGAGGCTGATTTCTCAGGAAGTTCAGTGGGTTGACTGAAAGTGAATACGTGAGATGCAGAGAATAAGATAAAAGATGACAATGACGAAACCAAAGCCAGCTTTAAGGTGAGGCATATTTGATTGGATTGAAGATTATTATTTCGTGATTACCATCATCACTAGGTGAAGACCCAGGGTTGGAAGAGACAACACCGCCACCTGCAGGCGCAGCTGGAACTCTACCTCCTGACTCAGGGACTGTGATATGACCCTGGTCTCTGCCTGGTATTCCCTGTCAGAACCGTCAGTCAGTTAAACTACACTCAGAAAGTCACCTCATCTAAGTCAACAACACGTCTGCTGTCACATGGTTCTTACTGTGAGCAGGTACTCCACAGCTCTGTCCGGGTTGTTGTAGCTCGCTCTCAAGGCTGCAACCACCTGCTCCCGCTCGTAGCCCATGAGCATCATCTCGTTCACCATGGCGTCATAGGACTCGCCTGTCACTACAGGAACACACAGACACACGGTACCTTAGTAAATGTGACTGATATTCTACACTGCAGAAAGATTGTTAACGAGCAGATAAACAGTAAATAAACTTCACCTCCAACGACGATGAAACAAATGCACAGGTTACGTTAATGCTATTAAAAAAAAGAGGAAGAAAAGGAGAAGTAGAAGGTGGTGGAAAAGGAGAACAAAGACGATGGAGGAGCAGGAAAGGAGGATGATGTGGAAGAAGAGGAGCTAAATAATATGAAGGAAAAGATGTTACTAAGACACACACGCACATACACAATCATTAAAACACAGCTCATTTAAACTCACCAAGAGTTGAAACTGCTTCATCGATGAGGTTTGTGTTTGTCGATGCCTCGGAGCTCCTGCAGGAGAGAGCAGACAGCATGTGATGTAGGATGAACAGCAACAGTGGTGTCTAAAGAAACAGACACAAATACGTCCTAACTATCTTCACCTGGCTGGAGAGGACGCGGATTGTGCGGCTGAAGACCGTCTCTCCTCTGGTTTGTCATCTGTGGCGGGAAGTTCTGTGGTGGTTTCTGTGCTGGACGATGACAGTGGAGGAGTCTGAGCTGGAGCTGCAGCAGCTGGAGCAACAGCTGGAGCAGCGGCTGCTGCGGTAGGTGGAGTCTGTGGAGTTGCTGAGGCTGATTTAGGCTGCAGTGTGATTTCGTGTCAGTGAACAATAAATCGTTTAGTGACAAAAGTTGTTTCTGGACGTCTGTCATAACGTTCTTACAGATAAATAAACCAGGATCATTTATTACAACTAGGTTGTAAAAAAAATGACTGAACAACAGTGTGTTCTTTATAAAGTATGCATTTCTAGTTTAAGAGAACTGTAATGATGCTAACAAATAAACTAAACACATCACAAACAAAAACACTGAATTTTCACACACGCACATACACACACACCCTCACCTTTGTTACCATGAGAACCACAAAGTTCTTCTCATTGATCTTGTACTCTTTGAGAGCCGTGTCATCGCTGAGGATTTTACCTGAGAACAAACAGAAGAATCAGTCAAATGTCAATCAGAAGCTGATCAGGTGGTCCAATCAATCAATCAATCAATCCATCTCTCTCTATCTATCATGTTATAAACAATTCTCAATTGTTCACAAATAATGGTTCATGTTTTAAGTGTAACCTCTAAATGACATTTTTCAAGTTTTATTTTTTTACTCATTCGATACTATAAACAAAGTTGATAAATGTTTGCTTTTTATTATTGCCTTATTTGTCTTTTTATTGTTATTGTAAAACAAGAAAAAAATACCAGGTCACCAATACACCAATTTAGATAATACTTTTAAAACGTTTGTTAGAAATGTGGCACCATGGGTCAGTGCTGTAAAACTGTTTAATTTCTAAAAGTAATTTGCATTAACTCATTATTATTGGGAAAAAATCTGGCAGCCTCAACTTAAGGCACAAAAAGTTGTAAAATATGATGATAAATGATAAAGTAGGAATGTTATGACTGAACTTTGTTACTTCACTAAGACTGTGTCAGCTGCATAAAGAAGCCAAAGAAGCACATGGTGCATTTGTGCGCCATAAAAACAGAAATGATTGACTAACAAATGATGAGTCACATGAAGGAACAACATCTGGAATTCTGGAACATTTTTTCAGGCCAAAGAAGCACATGGTGCATTTGTGCACCATAAAAACAGAAATGATTGACGAACAAATGATGCGTCACATGAAGGAACAACATTTGGAATTCTGGAACATTTTTTCATAAGTTGGAAAACACCATCAGATGAAAAAAAGATAAATTTGGTGAATAGTTAACTGTGTGCAGACATCTGTTATCAGCACTGTGGCCCTGTCTATTCACCTTAAACACTAACACAGACATGGACATTAAGGCTGGGTATACTCTCAGTCCATTTAAATTTGATTCTTTAGGTCACAATAAGATTCGATATAGTACCAAATAATTATTTTAATAATAATTAATAATTTCATGTCCATATGAACAGACATGGTGTAACTCATGGCATCTTTAAGCAATAAAACACCTGAAATTAAAGCATCAACACAAAAATACTATTACTGAATATGGTGTACAAAGTATAAAAGCGCCCTCAACTGGCCAGGGGCTCGAATGATTCAGAAAAATGCTGAATTGGTACTGTTTTGAGGAAATATAATTGCAATGCATTTATGAATCGTTACTTTACCCATTCAATGTAATAATTGATCAAGGAAAAGGAACATCAACATACCAGCATAGATCAGCTTCTGTCCAGCTACTGAGTAAATGTCCTTTCCTTTCATCTGCTCAATTTTCTCTTTTAATGTCTTCACCTGAGGGGACAAAAAATGAAAATGGTTTACTTGTCAGTAAACCTTTACACCCTTGATACAACTCTATAACCTGTCTTTTTTATTCACACAGGTAAAAACAAAAATCATCCAAAAAATATTCTTGAAATGTAAAAAAAACTTTTATTTGTTGAAGACAGAGTTATGTCCTATTTAAAAAATAAAAATAGACACACATGAAGTAAAACAAAAAGTTATTGCATCTCAAACTTGCAAACTTAAATACTGAGAACAGCATTTTCCCAATTAGTCGATGTTCTATTTCCTAAAAATGGTTTCACTAGCTCTAAATAGCGCAACTAAATCACTAGTGACAATCTCCCAGTTATAAAATGTCGCTTAAAATTAAATGGTGGCAGGTCATTTATTCCAGTTTATTTTTGCAGTATATATATATATATATATATATATATATATATACACACACACACACACACACACACACACACATATTCAACCTGGTTAACAAAATGAAGCACTTACTAGAGATTATGTACGTTTTCTATGTCCTAAGCACAGAACGTACTGTCCAAGCTTTATGTATGGGCTACGGCTAATTACTGAAATTACGAACTACTTTTCAGCACAGTATTTATTCTATAATGCTTGCACACAACATATTTTACGTCAGAAACATGCGAAATTACTATAACAGCCCATTCGTTCTAAAAATTAATTAGTGCATTTATGTTCTAATGTGAAACGTACAGAAACGAGGTCTATGTGTCGGTAACAGGACATAACCAACTCCCGCTCCACCCCCTTCACAGATGCATGCACTCAGCTCTCACCGTCTCCTCCTCGTCGATCTCCACTTTAAACGTCTGCTGTTGTAACGTTTTCAACGTTATTAACATCTTGACAACTCAGTTTTTATTCCTGTCCCGGATTTTAACGTTGCGGCTCCAACTTTCACCAGTCTTCCCTGTTTTTGTTGGCTCATTACAAACTGTCATCCGCCATATTTTCTTTTTTTTGCTCTTCTTTTACGTCACTCACTTACGTCTTAAACAGATGCCACAACGCCACCTTCCGCTCCGGAGTATGAAGTTCAACTATATACTGTCTGGATGATACAAGTACTTTACAATTTTGTTTTAAGCTGTCCTCCGCTCTCTAGATGACCCATATAATACCCGACTTCCTGTCTACTCTCTCTCCTTTTAAAAGCTACGTACACTCCGCTTCAAAGCTTTAATCTTGAAAGGCAGAGTACCAAACCTGTGTCATTTCCTAGACATCCTGTAATAGACATCCAGCTCTACTCAGCTGGAAGTGACCATGTAAGAGTGTAGCACAACATACCTTGGCATGAATTAGCCTAAGTTTGCAAAAACATATAGCAGGTTGAGAAGATATATACAGTATATACAGTGCATGTGTATATATATGTGTGTGTGTGTGTACATATATATAAAGAAGCCAAATGAAAGAACAGCAAAAAATAGGTAAACAAGGTAGGACCAGGTGCTGCTTAAAGAAAGCAAACATATAGCAACATTCTAAACATTATACATTTTAAACTCTTTGAAGAATCTCCAACAAAACAGGTTTTCAGTGTGTCCAGTGTTGTTATCAGCCTTTGTCGCATTTTCATCCTTGTTGATTTCTATGAACCTCTTTCTATTTTTTCTTATATAGTTTTATATCTATAATTTTCTCCCACTGTGTCATAAATTACAGCACTAAAGATTATTCTCTGAGCTGCTGCTCTGTGGACTCACTGTCACTTTGTATCATATAATATATGGTTCAGATTAACAGTGGAGGAAAGAGAAGTCTAATATATAGTCATGTAGGGCACACTAAGAGACTGGCTGTATATTTATTATATGAACAGCAGAGTTAATTTACTCCACTGGGATGAATGTAGAAATGAAACACACACACACACAGACGCGCCAACAAACACACACATTTACATTCTGCCCCAAAGCAGACTTTCAATCTGCTGTAGACCTGACAACAGAAACCGTTTCTCCCTCGGACTATTTTATTTACCGTAGTGAAACAAACACAGAGACAGACTGTTGGCTAAGTTTAGCTCTGTCTGCTATTTTATTTCTTCGATCTTTATTGGAAGTGTGCTATGTGTTACCTTATAATTATTACTTAGATAATTACTACATGTAAGTCTAAATTGTTACTACACATACTGTAGTACTGGTATATCTGGGGTTTTCCTCTGATGTAGAATAATTTAATAGCTAACGACTTTAGCTTCTCTTAAGTTAACCCTTTTCATTGTAGCTACATTTCTATCTTTTCATTCAATTAGGTTTATTTTTTTCTATTTTAAATAGATTTTTTAATTTTTTTTGCTATTCTTTAGTGTCACCTAAGATATATATATTTAAAGATAAAGCATTTTGCTATAACAGGCTAAAATTTAGCTATTTTCTTAACTCATATTCTGTTATTTGCTCAGCTATGCTATTGCTATTTGTTTAGCAACGTTTTAGTTTTTCAGGGCTGCTTTGTCGTTTTTGGGAAACCTTAAAGAAATTTACTGGCTATGTTTTGGATTTTCTTTTTTATTTAATTCATTTAGTTATTGTAGTTTACATACTATATGCTTTTGTTGACTTTTAACTATTTTTGTTGCTACTTGGACTCTGGAGAAAAACTCAAATATTCTTTGTTTACAAGCCATGACATTATATTTCTGAACCGAATCATAACAAACTGATAATGTAGTGTATTACATTTGTTTTAACTTCCTGCTTTAGTCAGTAACAGTAACAGCAGCATCAGCTCTACCAGCAGCAGTGCCCTCCTTCTCCTCCCCCTGCTCTTCCTCCCCCTCCTCCTCTTCCTTTCCCTTTTCTCCTTCCTCCTCGCCATAGCTGTGTCTCTTGCTACTGTCTCCAGGGGTCATCAGTCTGCCATCGGCCTCAGCTGAAGCTGTGAGCCTCAGAAGCTGCAGAATGATCTCTGGTGACGTGGAGATATTTTTAAGTGCTGATGTTAGACGTGTGAAATAAAGACGCAGGCCTGTCTGAAACAGGCAGAAGAAGAAATGTTGAAGGCATCTGTGAAAACTGAGAGGACGTTCACCAACGCTGGTTGTTTTTGCGATGAAACAGCCGAGGAAAAACAGAAGCAGAGAAAAATATGTTTGTGGGAGGTGATGAATTTCAGAACATTGTTCATATTCAGTGTGGACAAAAATCACACACCCAAACAAGCATTCGTAAATGTCATCTGCAAATGTTCTGGTCTTGGTCGGCAGAGTGCTCACAGGCTGCGGAGTGGAATGAGAGAGAAACTGATGGTTGGAGGGGTGTAACATTGAGTGAAGCCACTGAGATGCCTTCTCAGCCTGAAGTTATTTCCTGTGGACAAGCTTCTGGCATGATGACCAGATCTGCCGAGGTCCCTGGGGACATGTTGCTAAGAAAACCTTTTATGTCACTGGGAATTGGAAACAAAACGGCTCAAAAAGCCAGACAGGGTTAACCATGAATGGCTGAATCAGATTTTTTTTTTTCCACTCAGTATCAACAGCAAATGTAATACTAACGCCTTTCTGCAATCTGAAGTAAAGGTCCACAGCAAAGGTAACAGGGGGCAGGAAACATGTGGTTAACTAAAACTTATAATTTTTTTACCTATTTTTTTATGCACATTAAATAACAACATGAATACTTGAAAATGTGTAAATATTAGAATATCTCAGTACTGAATGGAAACTAAGATTGTTTAAGTAGTATATAGCCCAATTAAACATAGCAATATATTGCATACTTTTTGCAGAGACCCAAGACAACAACATATCATGGCTACATTTCGCCAACAGTTTGAGCGTCCGTGGCCTGAAGAGCTTTATCCAGCTCCTGTGGTGAAAGAAATACTTTAGGCTTTTCAAAAACAAGGAATGAAAACAAATTGTTTGTGAGCACTTCGTGTGGACATGGGCAGCTCACTAGCCCTTAAATCTTTAGCCAAACTCAAATCTGACCCTAATTCTAATCCTAACTCCAAACTACATTTTAAACCTCAAAATCTCAGTGGGGGCCTGTGAAATGTCCCTACAAGGACAGAGTGTATTTAAGTTCAGTATATGTAGCCATACCAGGTATACATACACACACATACACAAAGAAAGTTTAAACCCACTGTATTTGTACAATATGTTCAAACTATGTTTGTTTTCTTGCTGGAAAACTGAGGTTTGTACATTCCTCCTGCACCAAAGTCCATAGAGAAAATCAACGTTTTTAGCTTTAGCGAAACCGGCGCGTCTGGTCTATTTTTTGCTAGACTTGTTGACTTTGTTTCAGTGTGGTGGAGTTGAAGGCAGCAGTGGTTTAACAACTCATGTGTTGCTGTGATGCACAAACTCTTACTTTGTCCTTGGATCTTGCTGTGACAGGGTAACAATTCTTAAAGCTGCAAAAACAGAATTTTGCCGTGATGAGTAACAGAAAAACAAACGTTCCAAAACATCAGAGTCTGTTAAAAAACACTTCGAATACTGTATGTAAATTTTAGTCTTACATTTCTCTCCAGTCCATAATAGGTTTTTGACATCTTTGACAGATTTTTGTTCTTGTGTTGAATTAGCTAGGCTAGGCTAATTAATTATTAGCTTGAAAAATAGCTTATTTTGTACCTTCACTAACAATTTTCTAACTTCATTTTGGCTACTTTTACGTATAACCCTTTTTATTTTTGGCTAATTTGGCTATGGTATGCTAGCAAAAAAGCAAAGCTAATTCTGTACCTATATTAGTAAGTACAGAATTAGCTTTCCTTAATTTAATTTGGAATTGAATTGAATTTTAACTATAATAGCAATATTAACAATTTAGCAACTTAGTACTTACTAATTCTTTTCTAATTTTGGCATTTCATATGGACTTTCTATGATGATTTTCCATGATTTTGATAATAATAATTTATTTTTGATCTACTTTAGCATCTGAAATGACAAACCTAACTTTTATCTTCTGAGATGGGAAGAGAGACAGGATTCAACATTATCTGATAACTTTATTATCAAGTTAAAAAAAGACAATGAATTACAATATTTACAGAATATCCAGAGATAAATGGAATAAAGTTGTAAACAATCATTCTAGGCCACATCACAACCCACCATCAGGTAATCAGATTTATAAGGGAAGAAAAGGCAAGAAGGAGAGATTCTGGTCTGAAAAAAAAAAATGCATCAGAAACAAACACATATTTACAAGTATCCAGTGTGTTGTCAGCAGGGGCTTCACTTTGGGTAACGGCGGGGGTCTTACAGTCTACAGACTGAACACAGTGAAGGATTTTCAAAGTCATTTTGTGTAACTAAAATGATCACAGAACGACGTATAATTTTGGGTTGACAGCTTCATTTCCCATATTTTAGCATCTTGTTGACAAGTCACTACAACAACAGCTTCATCCAAACAGCTTCAAGCTACAGGTTTTTCAGATCCAGCACCGTAAGAACTCAGACTCAGGTCTACAGTACCCCAACGTTTACTGACCGAGTCAAATAACGGGATGCTGATAACACAGAACAGACGTGAACATGCTAGTGTCCAGAAGGATCTACAGATTAGCCATTAATCCAGATGAGGACCAAGACCCGAAACCTAGCGAGTAGTTCAAGACAACGCTCCCAACAGTTTCTAACTTAGCCTCAGTCTCCGTTTTAACATAAAAGCACAAACTAATAGAATTTATTTTTTCAACAAAAAAAAAGAAACTGCATCGTCTTCCTTCATGTGTTTAAATATTATACAATCATACTGTGCTTCCTTTCTGCTCCTTCCTGTTACAGTACAAAAACAGATTTTTTTTTCATCGTGATCAGACGTTATACAACAGTATGATATTGTTAGACGAGGGGGATTTTAAAAAAGCCCCCCCCCCCCGGAGGTTTTCTATCGTCTTCAGATTTCTTTTTTGTCTCTTTTTTTTTTTTAAGTAAGAACACCTAAAGGGAAACAGAAGGGATTAAATGTTCCTTCCTGAAACACCACAGTCAAAAACACTTAACGAGTAGGTTTGTTTTCTATACATGGCTGCAAACCTAAACCTTACCCGGGTTCCATCCATAGAGCGACACTTAAAATCCTATGGTCCAGCGTTCAGAAAAGACAGTCACAGCAGCACACACAGCAGGCATGGGGGATATTTTGGTAGCAGAGACACATTTAGATCAAATGTGTTCTTTTCATTTTCAGACTGATTCATGTTTCTTATTAGTTTTCCTGGAGCTGAAGAGAAATTTGACTCAATTGCTTTTCACTTCTCATAAGGCTTTAGGGCATTCAAGCAGCAAATTCCAGCAAATACAATCTCTGCCTTTTTGTCAACGTTGACACGACAACTTTACGTCCAACAAAGGAGCAAAACAAAGCAAGCGATGAAGTTCAGGGGGGTAATTTGGAGTCAATTTGAAATGTTCAAATCGTTTTTAAACCCAAGTGGTGGGGAGGCCTCATTACAACACTTTTCTCTTCAGTGAGTCCTAGTATGACAGGTGTATGAATAAGGCATCAGATTAAAGCCCAGATTTAAAGAAGACGTGTTTGTTTTCACACATGGCTGTTGCTGTTAGAGGTCACTGTTAGAGGTCAGATTTGGAGTTTTTCTACAGACTGTTATAACACAAACGTACAAGGGCAGTCTGTTTTAGACTCATCATAAATGCAGTGCAACCGCATCCTCCGAGATCAGATGTGATTGTCGTTGAAATGAAAAAAGACGGGCACCGATGGCTCTGCTGAAATCACTGCATGTGTTTGTCCAGACACAGGAAACCTTAGAGCAAACCTGCACTTTGACCTCAACTAATAATTCAAACAGAGCCAAACGTGATGGTAGGAGCAAAAATGTCCGACTGTAGAAACACTACTTTTTTTTATGCTGTTCAAAGATGTGGTGTATTGTCTCCCGAGGAACCTCTTCATGTTGTATTGCACTTGTAATGATATTTTGAGCATATTTACTAACAAAATATCTTTTTATAACTTTTTTTTCATATCAGTGGTATGACCCCCAGTGTGGGGTCAGCAACAATTGATAACTTGGATCACAGAGGGCCAGATTTAAAGAAATTCTTCCTGTAAGAACAATCAGTGACCTGGCAAAACAGATGACCAGACGTCTCCTCAATTTAGTGTGAAGAACCAAATACAGATTATGTCAAACTTTCATCCATACATCGCAGCTCTGATCTGAGTAGTTGTTACCTTATTGGTTGCTTCCTTGAATCTGGTCTTATTGAAACAATGACTCTTAAAATTGTCTCCATTTAATCAGTAACTCCAGCGGTTGACAATAAACACTGACAACTGTGTCACTTTTTTTGCTACCATTGAAACAGAGCCATAGCCATACTGTAACTGCATTCTAAGGCACTTGTATGGTGGCTTCAACATTTAGACGTGGTTGTCAGTGCCAAACTGGATTCTCTACGCAGGTCCAGGTGAAAACTGTGGAACCTACAAACTCATGGATCTCTGGGTGAACTGTTAGCATTCTGTCAATATAAAGATGTGGCCAGAACCAGATTGTGTCCGGTTCTGGCCACACATGGGATTTTTGCACTGAAAAGACAAGTGTATTTTTTTAAGTTGTAGTCAAAGGTCCAATACTGATGTTCACCTTCATGCACTTTTGCTCCTTCCAAGTTGCTGAGTACGTTTAATTTAAACTAATATGAAGGTCCACGTCCATCTGGCTTCGACAGCTCAGTACGCATTCCACTGCAGTACACTTCACTGTAACCTACACTATCAACACACACAGTCACAGAGTGGTGATGCACTTTGCAGTGAACCTCAGCAGGCTGGGGAAAGCGGGGACTAGGATTACATCTTAAATGCTTTGATAGAGGTAACCTGGGTCATAAATATAACATATAATATCTAAAGAGGAAGAGGACATTTAGTTTTCTCGTTTGATTATTTCCACTATTCGTCCGTCAGTGAAAATTACTGCACAATAATTGACAACAGTCAAAACGTCAAGCCTTCTCCACAGGATAAAAGCTTATATGACACTTCCGAGGGGACTAACATAGAGCAATGTGCTACTGGCTTTGGGCTAAATGTCTAAACATCTCAAAATGAATTAAACATAGTCTGCTATCTCGCAAAAATAGATAAGGTGCAACACTTCCTCCAGGAAAAAAATCTACACAATAACAAGAGGCTTAGATGAGGGAAATATCCTAAATTTCAACATGAAACCATTAAAAGACAGCGGGCCACGGTTGTAAATGCTCTCATATTATTATTATTTCCTTTAGGTACATTTACAGTGACCCTGTTTGAATGAGCAGGGGGGAACCTCAAAGGTGCTTTCCATAACAAATTTAGCTTGACATTTTGGACATCCTTTATAAATAGCGTCTATCTGGGTGGGATCTTTCACCTTGGGTTTGACCATAATGTCAGCAATAAAAAGTTCTGTTCACTATTGGTTACCAATATATTAAGATCTGTCCTATGGGACCGTTCATTTAATGCAGCACAACCTAACACTTGAACACGTAAAGTCTAAAATCTAATAATGTTCCAACGGCAATGTCACTTTTTTTTTGTTTTTTTTCCCCGTTACACTCTTTGATTCCTTTGATGTTCTAATCAATAACATAAACAAGTCAGTGTGAATCCTACCCAAAGGTCAATGTTTTTTTTTCTCTACAACAACGTTCCAAGAGGCCACGATCTGATCTGTTCAACCAAAGTGTTGATCGTCTTTGGTGTCAAGCGTTTCTTCGTCCTCCACAGACTCGCTCTTCACTGACAGATTAGCATGGCTCTGCACCTCTGTCCTGCTGCAGGACAGGTCCAGTCCTGTGTCCACCAGGACAGAGGAGGCGCTGGAGGATGAAGCTGAGGCCTCTATTGCTGAAGTATTGCTGGTGTCTGTCCGACTGCTGTTCACTGTCCTGAAAACACAGGTGGCAGAAGGAGGGTTGAAGAGAAACATGGTGTTTTATAACATGCAAATTCAGCCATAAACGCAGTCACTTAATAATAATAATAACAACAATAATAATAATAACAATAAATAATAATAATAATAATTCACTTTCACTTCAAAACTATTTTGAGGTCACTTCAATGTATCGGCCGATAATATTGGTTGGCTGATAAAATCATTTGGCTTATTTTATCAGACATGTACAGTGCACCTTATTCTGCCAATGCGTTAAAATGTGTTAACATTTTTTATCTGATTAGCTTCACAAATGAATGAACCCAACCAGTGGATTAATTTTGACAGACCTAGAAACAACTAAAACATGTCAAGACAAATCATTAAAATGTTTTTCAGTTTTTTGTCTTTAACGTAGCGCCTGTTTGAGAGGTTAGATTACTGAGCAGGAACAGCAACCATTGCAGTAGGCTCTGCAGCACACACCTCCCTGATATTTCACACTGCATATTAAAAAATCCAACGCAGCTGAATCTTTTTTGCCTGTAATCAGCAGACTCGTGTGACCAACAGACCGAGGTGGACGTCGAAGTACTTTATCACTTTTCTCTGGCAGGGTGGACTTCTGATAACAACTTGAGATTGAAGGTACTTTTTATTTTCAACTGACTTTAACAGTGGTGGAAATACAGTCATTTATTGTTAATGAATCGCACTCTCATTAAAGTTCATTAAAGAGAAGTCAGTACTGCGGAGGAAAACTACATTTGATTTGTGGCAATATTTCAGAGGAACTGAAGTCGGTGACATCATCACTGACAATTTCTGTGTTTTACATTGACATTTTGTGTAACGAGTGTGAGAGGTGCACAGGAGGAAAGCAGTTTGCAGGAACAATATCAGTCATCCTGAAAATGTAGCTGTTTACTAACATCACTCTGATCCAACAACTCCAGCTGGACATTTGGTTAAAATGTTTTTGGTTGTGAGAAAGTTGGTTTAAATTTCTATTTGGTCTCATTTTAACAGGTAGTCTGAAATGTGATGACGGATCAAACACTAAGTCAATCTGCAGTTTGGATTTGAACTGTTTATTGAATATGCAGTTTAGAGAATTTCTATTCTTTGAGCTTTGGATCTTCATATTTTCCACAGCTCTTGGCCCTCAGGTCTCATTATCAAGTTTCAATGTTGGCACCGTGGGAATAAAAAGTTTTTGACTCCTGCATCAGACTGTGAATGATTTTTACAGATATTTGGCCGCAACTCAAAAAAACCCAACCTGATGACGGTGCTGGATGAAAAGTCAGAGGATCAGAGTTACCAGATTTCATCGTCAGTCGCTCTAGTCACACTGTGCCAGTGTTAACATGGATCCAACAAACAGCTCACGTCCAAAGATAGAGCAGAGAAGAACACGGGGAAGAAGGAAAAAAATACTAACATGCCGTGTCGAAGGACATGCCGTTCCCACTCGGAGCTGTTGGTGAAGCAGCGGCCGCAGAATTCACAGGGAAGACGCTTCTCTGCACTGGGTCCAGAACTGCTGGTGCTGCTAGTGGGAGATGCTAGGACCTCTGGGAAAAAAAGTGTAATTGTTGTGTTGATTGCTATGGAATGGAAGTTAATTTATTTGTTAAGGACTCGGTTCTCACCTGCCGTGCAGCGCCTCTATTGGCTGCTGCCTCCAATTCAATTCTATTGTTATCAATTGTAATTAACATTGATACAAACATGATACATATTTTTATTTAATGAGACACGAAACCTTTTATTTTGTCAAGGTCTATAGTTTGTGGTAAGTCCACAACCTGAACTATACAGTAGTTATGCTGCTACAGGCCTACACCGCTGGGGGAACTCCCCAGTTGCACCAAACATCCTTGGATTTTGCATTTTTATGTGTTCTTCATCTTTACAATGTGTGTTTTTAACCAAGCAAGATAAAGGTTGTACTTTACCTGGCAGGCCAGGTTTTTCTTCCTCCATTTCCTTTACTTCTTCCAACTCCTCCTCTTCTTCTTCTTCCTCCTGCTCATCATCATCATCTGCTGCTGCTTCTTCAACATCTTCCTCCTCTTCATCTTTGATGTTGTCCTCTCCCTCTTCATCTTTGATGTCTCTCTCCTCATTTGCTAGACTGTCCATCATCTCCGCTCCTTCATCTTCACCATCCTCCTCTTCCTCCTCCCCCTCATCTTCAGCAGGGTCTTTTCTATCAACCACTATAATGTCCTTTTCCTCCTCCTCCTCCTCCTCGTCCTCCTCTTCTCCCTCCTCCTCCTCTTCTGCACTGCTTGTGTGTGCCTTTATCATCTCCAGCTGGTCCAGGTTGATGCGGCCCATCAACTCAAAGTTGCGTATGACCTGATGAGAAGCAGAAGACACCCAGTTAGTAAAACCTGCTCCAACTGAATGCTTATAACAAACCTCACAGTTGTTCAAAGGCTGGTGTTGACACACATCAACGAAGTAGAATTCATTTGGAAAAAATTGTGCAAAACGGACTCTATTTTGTCCAACATTCTAGAGCTGTGTTTGAAAGCAACATCACATTTTTGTCAGATGGAGACCCGTCCTAATACTCACTGCTACTGGATTTGATTGGATTAAACTACAATAACGATAACTTTGAAACACAACCTTAACCTCAGCATGACCTTAGGTGACAGTTGCTTCTACAGTTCATGGGATTAAATGAAGACAATTCATCTATTCTAAAGCTGTCTGCCTTTCTACACCAGAACCCCCAGGAATATCAAGAGGTAAATAAAGTTTCATCTATCCATCCATCCATCTCCATCTCAATTTTCATGAGGGGTCTGCTGTGGAAAGGCAGGCAGCCAGAGTTGAACCTATGACCTCTTGGATGGTAGAGAAACAAGGCCACAGTGGCAGAGCTACTGCTACCTAAGCACTGAGTAAGACCCCACTGTGATGGGTATTCTCTTCAGCACTGGTGGAACAAAACCTAGTAAAGAGAGTGCGTCGAGGTCGGTTTCTCTCTAGTATTTTTCTTACTGTACATTAACTGCATTTCTTCATCTGCTTTGTGCTCTTTACGGCTGGTTTAGACTCAATATTGGATCCACAGTAAAAATAAGTAACCTTCTCTTTCTCCAAAGCCCATATTTCAACACTAACTTAACGTTCTGAGGAAAAGTAATAACCATAAAAGTTTGTGGCATCTTTTTTCCCCTTTACATTCTCCTGAGGAAAAGTAATAACCATAAAAGTTTTTTTTCCCCTTTACATTCTCTGAGCTAAAGCAACTGAAACAGCAGTGTTGTGGAGGTCAAGGCCAGCTCCAGACAAGAGCTGGCATTTTTTAAAATGTTTTTTTTTTTTGCCTGTTTTTAAAGAGGATGTCCTTCAGAGAGGAGATGTTTCAGGTGCGGAGCAGAACGGAGTGATGTTTGACAGGATTTATATTGACAAAGATTACAGATCTGATTATAGAACTCACTCTCGACACTGTCTGTGCATCTTGTTGCTCAGTAAATTATGACACTACTCCTAAATAATTCATGTCTCCCACTCTTCCTCAACAGTCGGGATCATTATCCTGTCATCCATATTGCTGCAGTGTCCCTCTTGAACATCACAGCTTTGTCTCTCTCACTCTCACTTTTTTTACTACACCTTTTCTCCAAGTCTGCGATGACTGTTTTAGATTTTTCCCCAACTCACACCTATACATTTATTTATGTATGTATTCCAATGAGCTGAAGATGCACCTAAGGACTCAGAAACCCTCTCTGAGCTCCAGAGCTGCCGAATGATTGCCGTGTGTCACAGATGATGAATGATTCAAAGCTCATAAATTATGGCTACCCTTCTTGAAGGCAGCGGTCAAGCTCAAGGCCAATTACAAAAAACTGTGGGCTGCTGTTTATGGGCTTTTTGACTATTCCGACCTTCAACTACCAAACCCGGTTGCACTTTTTCTCAAAGTGACGATATCGACCTTGATTAAGAACCCAAAGTGTCCCACTAAACATTCAATCTGGTTCTGAGAACGCACGACTCCCTAACCTTCCATTTTCTCCGTCCCTTCTCTTCTCAAGGTGAGCCAGTCTTAAATCTGTTTCGTCGTGGTCTCTCTCTGAAAACCCAGCCTGGCCGGAGTGTCCTGGACCAGCTCATCTCTTTCTGCTGCATGAATTATCTTCTTATATGTCAAGGTGACGCACAGAGGTCGAATTTGGATTTATTATCTGGTGGACATCGCATCTTAAGGAAGGCAGAAGGTCGAGCGTAAAAAAATGTTAAAAGCAAAGGTGTTTATGGGTCAGACTAAAGCTGCTATAAAAATCACTGTAATGTGAATCTGCTAATGAGTTCTCATCTAATAAAGTTTAATTACGCTTGCTATAAAAATACCACAGACAATAAATGTGAGCAGCAAAGGTATATTTAACAGTGCTTTACCTGCCTAATTATAATGTGCTCGGACCTGGAGTTTAGAGGGAAACTGCAGCCGGAGGTGTTCACTTAAACCCACTGGTTGTCACTTATTACTGACGTTTAATGAATGTTGTCGGTGCGGTTAATGTTCCTGTGGAGGAACATAAAAACCTAAGGATATTTATGATGATCTTATAATGAAACTGATTATATGTAAGAGCTGCTAGCTTTAAGTGAACCAGGAATTTAAAAAAGATATGACATTAACAACAGTAAAAGACAAACAGCATGACACGACTCAGTAGATGTGACGGGGCATTAAAGCCGCCCAGAAAATATACCGTAATTTCCGGACTATTGATCGCACCCGAATAAGAGCCGCAACCACTAAATTTAGAAAGAAAAAAAATTGTACATATATAGGCTGCACTTCTCTATAAGCCGCAGGTGTCCACTGGAACCCCAACCCATTTTATTGATTATATAAAATGTTACATTTTGAAAAATAAATATATTCTGTGTTAATTACATTTGTGCCTTTGGGCACAAGAAACGGCGGTCGATTTGTCTTGCGAAAAAAAGGCTTAACGTCTAGTGCAGCTAGTTAATAGTTAGTTAGTAAAATTAAGACAGCTGCATTTAACACTCCATCTACAATCTGGGCTTATGCCCACAGGTGATTTTCATGCTCCTCTATATATACATATATAAATATATATACTCTATATACATGTATATAGAGTATATATATAGAGAGAGTATATATATCAAATCCAGTTTGAGTGTCTTTCTGATGCTGCTTCAGTGAAATACTTTGTTGATAAAAGACCAACTCTTCTTCACATTTCTGGTTCAATAAATTATATATTTTTCTGTGACAGGCAATTTGGACATGGCAGCTGTAAAATGTAATATGCCGTGGATGTGTTTTTTCTCTACAAGCTGACGGCTTCAGGTTTGAGATGGAGGCTAATTATCTGTTGTGAAGCCCACTTCTATCCTTCCTCTGCTCTACAACCCTTCACCCTTGAGGTGTGTCCATTTTGATTTTGCCACCAGAAAATTGGATGTGCATCATCTCTGGCCTCCGGCTGACCTTGTGCTCAAGGCGGAGATGCTCCTCCAGCTGGCGCCGTTGACTGCTGTCATAATAGCAGAGCTGGCACTGGTAAGGCTTGATCTCGGCGTGCTTCTGCAGGTGCTGCTGCAGGGCCTGGTCACTGGAGCATGTGAAGGTGCATTTGTGGCAGCGGAACACCAGACCCTGAAGGTGGCGTGACAGCTTGGAGCGGCTGACCTCCAGTGGGGCCACACGCTCCTCTGATGGGAGTAAAAGGAGAGGAGCCGGTGAGGAGATTTATTAGGCCGCAGAAAAGGAAAAAGTAAAGAAATAATGTTGTAGGGAGAGGCAAGAGAAAAGGAGGGAGCGTGAGAGGGTGGTGAGAGCTATTGACATAATAGCACAAGGAGATGTGAGAATCCAGGAGACACTCCTAATGACATTTGTCTCTCTCTCTCACACACACACACACAGAGAGATAGATAAAGGTAATCTCAGTGGCTATTACCTTTTGGCAGTTTTGTCATTTTCTCAGTTTCAGCACAAACACATCCAGATAAGTGAAGATAGTGTCAAATAGAAACCCCCCCTCCCTCACCCCACACCACCACAGAAGTAACTCCTTCATTTTTTCTTTTAGAAGTTTCAGCATTCACTGAATTACAGTACTCTGTGTCAAGACATTTGAATATGTTTTCGTATATGTGTACATATACAAAAGTTATAAGGGTTGTTCATGTGCTAGTGAGTTTGGAGGTTCTGGGTTGGTTTAGGTGTGTGCAGGGTCAGTTTTTTCTTTTTTATATATCTATGGCAGAAGGTTTTCAATATCAAAAGTCCTGGCCTTGAGTGTTACTATATACAAGTACTTTAGAGGGAATACAAGGGAAATCACTGCTGCTGTGTTTCCTTCTCCTACGACTACAGCAGTGTGAACACCGGGGAATTTAATCAGACTAATTATCTTGACGTGATGTCACTATAACTTCCTATTTCAGAGTGAAACTTTGTTTTACCGAATATATACTGCGATTAAGGCAGACTCGACACAGGTGAAAAAAAAAACATACAGTAATGGCCTTCTAGCTGAAACACGTCTGTCACTGAGATGTTAAAATAATAATAAACTGAGAAACGTTGGATTCACACTAATGTGTATTTAAAGGCAATTAAATAACTTAAAACATCTACAAGAACTTTCTCTCTGCCAGATCTTGACCTCTGACCTCTTACCCAGACATACAAATTAAACCTGAACTGATGTTTTTATTATGTCCCAATCAAAAATACTCTGAAGGCCACATGTCATGGAGTTGACCATGTCTTTGAGTCTCCTTCATACCTCTATGCAGGACAATGTGGTCGATCATATTGCTCTTGTTTCTGGTGTGGTAGAGACAGAGGGGGCAGCGAAGTTCTTTAGGAGGTTCCTCCTGGACATCGTTGTCGTGCCCTGCCTCCACGTGCACGGTGAAGTTGTTCCTGAGACAGATAGGGGTGAAGCATTTTACTACGTGCGTTGGAGACAAGTGTAATCTGAGTCATTTATTTCCTGTAGTCTCGGGGTGACGTCTCTTCTTACTTGAAGCAGGTGAAAAAGGAGCAGTCCTTGCATTTGAAGAGCTTCCTGCCACCGTGACGGTCCCTGTAGTGCCGTCGAAGGCTCTGCATGTATCCAGAGCTGAATTCGCAGAACTCACACGTCAGGATGCCGTCAGGACGACCGTCAGCTACTGTCATGGCACCAGGTATGGAAACAGAGGGCGGTTGACTGCGGGAGGCCAGCTGGTAATGACTGAGCTGCTGACGAACATCAGCTGGTTCCAGGTATGATTGCTCTAAGATAGACACAGAGGGATTGAGGAAACGTAAGCACTGTGTCATCATTACTGAGGTCAAAAAGCTAACAAAATCGCCTATCAATAAAACAGCCCTGCTATAAGAAAGCAAATTAAGCTAAACATTTTGGTTGGCCTACTCTAAAAAGCTAAAAACGTTCCCAAAATAGACCAAAACCGAGAAAGGGAAGGGAAATTCAGATTTCATCTTATGTTTTTCTTTGTAAACGAGAGGACGCAGCATTGATTAGAGTTTAACCTTAACGTCTGCTGACAATGGAACAATGATTTAGTGGTTGGACTATAAGTTCAGAACTTTCCTTTCCTGTTTGTCCCTCTCACATAAACCTAGATCATCAGTGAGTCAGTCCATCCTGTGGTCTCGGCTTTATCTCTCACAAATCAGTACACGAAGGTAAAGCGCGTGGAAAACCTGTTCAAGTGAAGGAAGAAGTCACTGGTAAAGGTCAGTGGAAGGCAGAGGTTCTTATTTATTTTCTGTCACTCCCCCGCTTGGGGACACCAACCCATACAAACCACTGTATGGGTTGCTGCCACCTAGTGACTGTAGGATGTTATCATTCATAGAATACAGCCCTCCTTTGGCAGAATGCACACCCCACAACACAGCAAAAATAGATAATGATGGCTTCACGGTACACCAAGAGTGATGTGAGGTTTGGACTTGGCCACTGAATCTCAAACCAATCAAACATCTGCCTCTAACGCAGTGCTTCTCAAATACTGGGGCAGGCCCCCTTTTCGTGGGGGGGGTGCGGGGGGGGGGGCATGGCAGAAAATAATTAAGAACCACTGCTTTGACATCCTGGTGCCAGATCTCATCTTCAGAGGTCTAATGGAGTCATGGCCTTCATGGGTCAACAACAGTTGGATCTACACTATGGAAGGCAGGCGATCATTATGTCCTGGTCAGTGGTGGCAGCTTCTGTTTATTACAGTAAGTAAATAAAAAAAAAACAGAAGCTTGGTTGTGTAAGTCGTGAGTTATTCTTTCAGTCATCAGAAAATGATGACGTATGTAGGTTTGATATTCACAGTCAGCTGAATTATTCTTCACAAACCTGTGTCAATCAGAAACTAATCTTCAATAACGTACACATTCCACCAACTCTTTGTTCCACTGTATTCCATGTCAGATTCTGACACCCAACTGCAGGTAACTACTTTGGCGTGCTAGTGAAACATTCAGTGCGTCAGCTCTGCCTTCCCTCAATGCTCCATTTGGTTGAGGCACAGCTGACAGCGGTGCTTGCTGCACTGAGGAATGTTGTCCTGCTCCAGCTCCAGGGAAGATTCCACAGCTCCAGCAGCAAGGTGGCAACAGCTGCTGCCAAGAACAGGCTGCAAGCTGCACACAGACGCTGGAGGAGCTCAGACACGGCAGCACATCACACAGTTTGATGCTGCGCCAGCATACAGTCCCGGTACTTTTTTTTTTTATAGGAAGTACACTACATCATTGAAATGAAATAAAATATAATATAAGGATTTATTTAATGTCTGAAATATGCTGATATGCGGAGGATAAGGCTTTGATGCTACATATGCAGATGATGTACATTCTTAGCAAATCACCTGTATGAATTCCTATTACTCACATTATCAGCATACTGTATAACTTATGGAGTACGTGAATATATTATGTACAAATGATGCAGCAGTTCTAGACTTCCATTCAGAAATGAAACTAAACATTTTTCTTGAAAAAATAGATTTCTGAGAAATGTCAAGACTTTTATATTTAACTCAGATTATTAATGACCTGAATTATTTTTATGTTAGTCCCTGACTTTAAATTCAGAATTCTTACTTTCATGTCAGATTTTCAGTGTCTAAGAAGTTTAGGAACAGAAAAAAATTCTATTTTATTGGCACACCAGAAATGCAGTCCCTCCTTGAAGGGCCGGTTGTAAACAGTAGACTGTATAGACGTACGTATGAAAAAATGCTTCTGCCATTGATTGAAATGTATTCCTGTTACAAATATTGTTCATTTCTCTGTGTAATAGAAAAAAACATTTTATTTTATTAGGTTATGAATTATTCAATCCTTTTTAAGCACCCATGGGCCACACAAGATGACTTGGCGGGCCACAATTGGCTCCCAGGCCTTGAGTTTGACACATGCTCTAAAACATCTTTCTTATTTTTACAACCTAATTTGTTATTTTGCAAAACGGAGGTGGTTAGTGGTTTTAATAAAACAAACTGAATCCAAATATGATCCACATCAACATGTACTCTGACTGAGAAACAGCACTGAAGACAATCAGACTGACGAACAAAAAAGTTAATATTAATGGTTTCCTTCACGAAACTTTTCAGATGGAAACGATGCCTTGGAGACGATTTAATGACTGTATTTCTGACAGACCTCGTAAATAAGGTTTTTTCTTCACAGTCTAAATCACATTCAGCCAAAGACTATATGTGTTGTGTCCTCGTGTTGCTGCTCCGGGAAGGATTTTGATGCAAAATGAGGCAATCAGCCGCTGAAGGTCTGAGTGTAAATATCCTTTCACATCAAACGGTCCACTCTCTTTCATCACTCTCAGTGAGATTAAATCAAATGTTCCCTATTATGTGACATTAAATGAATTAAAGTTATGTTATATGTCATACCTTCGGAAGACAACGCAGTCTGCTCCGTGGCACTGGCAGGTCGGGAGGGCCTGAAGCTGGCTTGAGCAGCCTGCGTGGCAGCCCGTAGTTTGGGGAGGGTCAGGACCTCACCGTGGTCTCTCAGCGAATGCTCCTTCAGCTGGCTGATGGTCATGGAGGAGAAGGGACATGACAGGCATTTGTACGAGTGTTGGTCACCTAGAAGACAAAAGCAGAATCAGAACGTAAGAACCTTACTTTGACATAATTTCATGACACAATTTCATTTGGAATTTGACTAATTCCGTTAGTCACAAAAAGCAACAGATATGAAACACAAACATCTACCTGCTGTTATTTGTCGTTCTGTCCCACCAATATTATTACATTATTACAATAAAATACTGTTAGCATACATTTTTTCTAAAAGCGACTTACAATTTGAGTCAGTCAATCAACAATTAAGCTACAGTAAACAAAAATACAAAAATACATAATTAATAATAAATAGTAATAAATAATAACAAATAGAAAAGTACAAAAATACATAATTAATAATAAATAATAACAAATAGAAAAAGTACAGTTATAGTCATAGTAGATCATTAAGTAAGAAGAGGTGCATGTTAGATGTTAATATACTATTATATTAACAATATATTTTTTTTATTTTAAGGAATGTTGATTTATCTCCTTATAAATCATGATTAATCATAATAAATGTACAGTTGTCCGATGCTCTATCAGATTCATAGTCTGACTGAGATGATAGTTTTGAGACATGCTCTCCTAATCTGATTTAAAGCACTTCTGCTACGAAGAATCAAGATGTGTTTTGTTGACAGGTTTCGTACCCACGGAGACTGTGCTGCAGTTCTATCATGACATCATCACAACACAAACAACACAATGACTGCACCAAAACTGTTGACAATTTTTTTCTTCAGAGCAACTTCCTCCTTTTCAGATGTGTCTCCTCCACAGCTTTACTTAAAGGCAGCATCCTGCAGTGAGAAGCCATTACAACTAACTCTGACTTGACTGTCACATCACATGTCTATCCAGTCTCAGTTTAATAAGCCCCTCTCCTCTCTGAGCTGCTCGGAGGAACAACACACTGTATTGTTAAAGCAGACGCTGGACTTTCATGCGTCAGTCCAAATGTTTCTCCTCTTGCTGGACTAAAAGAAGCTCCTCTTTCAGATGTAACCACAGCTCAAAATTGGGTTGCGTCCATTTTCCACAGCCGTTGTTAACTCCTAATGTTGTGTCTAGATCCAGTCAGACAGCAGGGAGCGTTCAAATGCTGATTTAAAATAAGCCTTTCCAGTGTTCCCAGTTGCATTATTGTTTGTTTTGTGTGAGTATTGATTATTCAGGGAGAGGTTTTTATTCTTTTTCCCTTGCTGAAATGCCAGCGCCACTGAATCAATTCTGCCGTCTGGCTATGACAAAAACCAGGAAGTTCAAAGATAGAACCACAACTACTTAAAGATAAAGAAGAATAAATAAAATAAAAAATAAATAAACCAAAGATTACTACGATAGAATTTTAACGGGCTACTGCAGTGATTTTTCAACCTTGAGGTCACGACCCCCCTGAGGTTGCCTGGAATTCAATTGGGGTCACCTGAAATGTCAAGTATATAAAAATTACTGATAAAATATTTTATTCAAATATTATTTTTTTAAACACCAAACACAATTCTAAACAACTGTATTTTTTCACTTTCATGAATATAAATTGAGTTCAAATAAAATGCAGCATATAAAAATATCTGGGCTGGCGCATCGTGATTGACGGCTACGATCACAAGACATACATAAATCACAGCTACTAAAAAGTCAAAAAAAGGTTGGGAACCGTTGGTCTACTGCATGTGTTTCCAGCTACAGGGATGTTGCCCTCTGTCTGTATGTTTTCTTTGTACCTGTTTCTTCAATGTCTAGAATATTTAGTGGAATTTGTTACCAGGAATGCAATTTTAACTGTCAGATATCAAGTCAAAAGTCAAAAATGTGTAGGGCCAGGACACAGTAGGGGGCGCTGTTTCTTCCACTGCATGTTTCATATGTTTTTTAGAAGAGTGCAATTTTGAAACTTTCTAATGAGTACATTACTTAGACAGAGGATAATATTGTACAGAGGTACTCCTTGATGTTGATGGAATTTTACGGTACCACCCTTTATTTACTTATGTTAACCCTGCATTCTTTAGACATCGCTCGCACCTCAACATGTCCTGCTCTGTCTATAAATGAAGGATGAATGCAGAACTTTTTCATAAAGAAAAAACAAGTTCAGGTGAGAGAGCTACATGGTCTTTGTTCATAGACTTCTGAACAACAGCTTGAAATCAAAAAAGTAATGCTGATAAACAAGCTAATCTACTGGACTCCATGTGCTGGCTAAGCTAAAGTAAGACACAGACTGTGAGGAAGATGATAAACAAGAGGCTGTTATTCTGGTTCATGAATGCCGTGTTAATCATGGACACAGGTGCATAGTGTTATTTAATGTGTGTGTGTGTGTGTGTGTGTGTGTGTGGTTTCACCTGTGTGTGCCTTATGCAGGTGGCTCTTCAAGCGACTGGCGTAGGCAGATTTAAAGGGGCAGAACTTGCACCTGAAGGGCTTTTGATGGCCGTGATGAGACTGCACGTGTCTGTCCAGACTGAGGAGCACAAGCACAGACAGAAGAGGGAATATTAGATGAAAGGAATAATAAAAAAAAAAGTTTTACAACAATGGTAAAGTGCAGTAAATGGACAAGAGTGTCAGAAATGGCAGATTACAGAAAGAAAATCGACACACGCATCAACTTTGATGGTTTTAACAGCAGGGCTGTGGGGAACACCGACAGACTCTAATCCTCAAAACAACAGCTCCACATTTCCAATGACTACAAAACAAGGAGCCAGGAGGTGAACTCATCTACCCACAATCCCCCGGGGGGAATAAGTGTGAGTGCCTGTAGGGGATGTTGTCTGTGTTTTTAACCCTGCCTTCATAGGTGGCATGGGAAAGCGCTTTCTTTCTGGGCCAGAGTACACGCAGTACAGAGGGAGTACACCTGGGAGCTGAGGGGTGATGAAGGCTCTCCCTGTTTCCATTTTTTTCGTGTTTCTCTTTCTCTCTGATGGATGAAAACAAATCACAGTACCAAAAAAATCTGTTGTGTGTTTCCTGCATTCATGGATTCTAAGTCAACCAAACACGGTGTAAATGCTTTTTAAAAAACATTTCAATATCTAGATGATTTGGAGGGATTACTGCTTATGACAGGTGTGGGCAAACGTTTTGACTCGTGCGCAGGTGTGGGCAAACATTTTGACTCGTGCACCACAGTTGTCCTAAAATTATACTGGGGGGCCGGGTCAGGAGCAGCTAGATGGAGTGTTCGTGTGAACTAAGATAAATGACATCCATAAAGGCTAAAACGCTAAAATGATTTTAGATTTTTTTTACGCCATCTATTGGGGAAACATGGGTATTGCAGGGAAAAGGCAGAAGTATAATGATAATATAAATAAATTATTCATTCATTTGGAAAAGTTTGGTGGGCCGGATTAAAAAGCTCAACCGGCCGCATCCAGCCCCCAGGCCTTAGTTTGGACATGCTTGGTTTATGACATAACACATGTTAGCATCTTTGTTCATACTGTATATTAGGTTGATTTAGTCCTCCACTAAGAGTGCTGTAATGATGTACAAATACTCAACATCAACAGCTCCTCAAGGGGTAATTAGGAATTTGTTCAAGCATTGAGGTAATTAAATGAAAGAAACTCCAAGTAAAACCCAGTCCTGCAGAGGGTTTTGGCTGTAAATGTACTGTGGGTCAGAAAATATAATTAAAACACACAAAAAAAGCTAACGGTTAGCACAAATATGTCAACAATAAAAGAAAAAACAACATTAGAAAACACAATTGAATAATATGAAATCAAAAGTAAAAGTTCAAGTGTAAGTGTAAGGATGTTAGCCCAGAATAGCAGAAAATCAAAAATAGCTGGATAAGAAAATATTAAACATAAATATAACTTCAATTAAACACACAGGGGAAAAAAGTAAATACAGGCATCATTAAAGCCGAGAGCTAACAAAACGGTGAGTGTTCCCACCATAACACATTAACAAACCAAACATAACACACAATTGTTTTTTTTATGGTTAAATCCCAGAATTTGACCAGAACTGCTAAACAAAACATTTCTACAATGGACAAAATAGCAGAAAGGCAATGAGCCAGTCTAAATAAAAAGATTCAAAAGTAGCAGAAAACTGAAACTGAAATTGAGTCTTTTATTAAAACTTTGTAAAATCTGTAGCTTTAATTAAAACAAATTAGCAGAAAGAAACGGTAACTAAGGGCCAACTGTGAAAGCTCAGAGAGGTTAAGGACACAGAGCAGCCACAAGCAAACAACAAAACGTAAAAGCCTTTGCTAATAAGTGAAACAAGTTAGTAAAATAAAAACGATACATATTGTCTGTTGAATTACTTTACAAAAAAGTAAGGTTTAGGTAAAGGTTTATTCTTTTAACTTTGTTTAAAATAACTAAATATACATTGATAAAACCTATGGAGAATTAATACTTAAGTTTAGATGAGTGTAGTTTTGATCTCATAAATCACCATAACATCACAGAACAATGTAAGACGTTAGCGAACAGACTCACTTGTGCCTAAAGGGTGAGACGAACTGGCAGTACTGGCAGCTGTATTTATCCTCTCTGCTGAACAGGGCCACGGCCGAGTGGCTCCTCTCGTGGGACCTCAGTCCCTGCATGGACATGAAGACACGGTCGCACTGACTACAGGGGTGACCCCCAGCTGCAAACCGCTGCTCCAGCGGAACTTCAGACTCATCAACTGTCAAGTCCACAGCGCCCTCAGCCTCTCCGTCCATTCCTGTATCAATCATCTCGGTTGTGACGCCATCATCGCCTGACACTGTGGAAATCAAGGACGGAACCATCTCCGTAGCCTCGGGTCTGTCCAAGCCGTCGGCTTCAGCGGCTTCATCGCCCTCGAGCATGCCGTTAGTGAGGCTCTCCGAGGGCATGGCCAAGGGCACCTCGGTGGCCCCCTGCTGAAAAAACCCTGGT